GTTTATTATATATATATATATATATATATATATGTATATATGTATAAATATTTATGTGTATATATATGCATATATGTATATATGTATATATATATATATATATATATATTATATAGGCTTACGGTATATATGGTTGCTGCTAATACTACTACAGTACATTACATAGTGACATGATTAAAATTAAAAAAAATTGGTTATTTCTAAACTCGGAGGTATTGTGTAAGTCTGATGTGTGTTTGCAAAGTATGTTTAAAAAATGTAAACAATCAATAAATATTGTGTCTCTTAAACTTATATACTTTTTTCATTCATTTCATCCTTAATTTAGAATTCACAATCATAGACTAAAAATATAATTGGTAATAGTTAATAGGAAGGAAATGTTAACAAGTTACTGAATTCACATTATGAAATAAATATAAGTATTTAATGATCCATAAGAATCTATAAAGAACGAAACTTGTAATGTGTTTGAGGGCGCATTTCTTAATAAGTTCGTCATATTATCAATCAATCCATCCATCGAGGGTTGTCGTTTTTATTGTTACCGGTGTGTAACCTTTTAATTGCACGAGTTGGCCTACCTTCCTAAGACCTCGGTGAACTCGAGAATTATTGTTAATTTATCCTGATGTAAGTAGTTAAAAGGTTAATAAAATTAGGCCACGTATTCATCTACGTTAACGCGGTTACGGTGAGGCCATTTGGTAGGATGAGAAACCCCTATTTATTTGTCTTGCTTGGTGGTAGAATGCGAGTCAGGTGCGTCTCACACTTCAGTGTGATTGTACGAGGTGTAGGGACATCCCCTTTGATCGCACGTGATTTATCCAGTGAGACTATGTACTCCTGGCGGCTATCGTATTGGTTATTCATCGTATTTACCGTCAGAGAAATAGGCCTAACAATTACATTATATTATTATATACTTTATATTTATTTGTAGAACTATCTATGGGTTACATCTATGCTTATCAATAAATATCATTTTATCCATATCTATTTTTAGAGGATGACGTCACCTGTTTATTGTTGTCACGTGTTAGTGTACAGTACGCTTATCATGTACACTGTCGGTGAGGTGAAAATAGACTTGAATGGAAAATGGATTTTAGAAGACGAAAATGGCAGTAAGTTTGTGGTAATGTAGTGGGAAAATTCCCCTTCAGACAAACATGAACCACTGTCGTCGGGATGCAAATCGAGGTCATTGGATTAAATATATAATTTACCAATCTAACCATAGTTATTGTGATTAATAGTTTCTTAAACTATCTTTCCCCCGACCCAGTTGACTGGACTCTCACATGGGATTTAGTCTGGGACCCTGACCGAAGGCTCTAGGCGGATTGTTAGTCAGACTGTCTTATTTGTTGGACCCCTGTCGGCAACTTTCTGGAGCCAGCACTGCTAATGCACTACTTCCTATAAAAACAAATACACAAGACTGATGTGCAGAGGCCCTAGGCTTCGTAAGTTCTGTAAACGATGAAGTATCTCCTTTAAGTCAAGGGCATCTGAATAAAACTATGATGCAATTAAACAAAGTTCTTAAAAGTAAACGTAAATGTAAATTATCAAATGTATTATAAGAAGGCAGGCTCGAAGATTGATAATAAATAGAATTAAAAAAAATAATAATAAAAACAAATAATTTCAAGTAATTCAGAATTGAAATCTTAATGATTAACAACTATTCCTAGGAAAACACTAGAAAATAAAATCATTGCCACTGTAAATCTAAAATACTGACCTGAAAGTTATGTTTGGTTTGCAATATAATGAAAATATTTGTAGTACAAACATAAGGGGAGACTTCTTTTATACCTTGTTTAGTAAACCCGCCGACTGCAAATATTGATGATTTCGAATAAAAACAAAAATTTTATTTTTGGCCAATTAGCGCAGCAGCTGCCACAAAAAAGTGGAAATTGCAGAAAAAAAATAAAAGTTTCTTTATTTTTATTACACCCTCCGCTGCCTTGAAATCTCCAAAGATATGATATGTATATTCTTTCCTAATTATATAAATTTGAAGCATTTAACCACCCTATTTTACATTCACCAATAAAATTTTATTTTCTCCTCCATCTGGATGATGTTGGCAAAACTCTTTGCTAAATAAGAAAACTTTTATTTTTATTTTTATTCCGCCCTCCTTCAATAATCTTTAAAAAAATAAGTACGCGAAACAAGGAATAAAAAAGTCTCACCCTAACATCAATTCTATTTTATACCTGAAGCAATATCAGTGACAGCAGTGATTCCTGGCAGTGTTCACACAGCATTGATGTCAAAGGGCATCATCGGTGACCCCTACTTTAGGTTCAATGACCTTGAGTACAGATGGATTGTGTACACAAACTGGACTTTTAGTCGCACATTTGAAAGTAAGTGTTTAATTTTTATATTCTCAACATATTTAATTATATTGTTAATTTTCTCATTTAGAAAAACATTTATAGGTTTAAGTGTTATGCACTGTTTATGGGATTTCTAGTGATACATAGGAAAGACTGTGGCATTTTAGTATTACTTTTTTTAAAGTTTTTACTGACAGAACCAAACTATTATCAATATAAAGAATAATATTTCGAAAAACATTGCGAATTGAACTAGGTCAAATTCTTTGGGTCAAGTGGTTGAACCTGACTCAGGGCAAGTTGAACCAGTCATGGGCATATATTGACCCACAATTAGTTTACATTTATGCAAGTTATGAAAATATTTTTACAAATTTTGTTTTTATATATAAAGTGCACTTTCTTTTGAAACAGCCTAGAAATTAGAATAAACTAAAGCATTATTGATAGTTAAAAACAACAAAATTCTACATCAACTATTTGTTAAAATTAAATACATTACATTTATTCTTGTTTGCAGTATCAGGTGGTACAGGCTCATTGTCGACTGTTCTGTTGGTGTGTGATGGCTTGGACACAGTTTCAAGTGTGTACATTAATGGGCAGTGTGTTGGCAAATCTGACAATATGTTTCTTCGATACATTTACAACATCAAGAAATATGTGAATGTGAGAAACTTTTAATTTCATAAATTTATATAAGTACATAATTAAAAAAATAAATATTTGGAAACAATCAAAATGTCATTTTCTCAGACACTTCAATGTCAATACAATTTCCAAGCCTAATTTTAACAAATGATCTTATTTTATAACATTTTTTTAGTCACACATTTATACGTTTTGTATACATAAAAAATTTTACACATAAAACCTAATTAGAGTGATTAAAATTTATGGAGAACTGCGAAGACCCAATGTGAGAATCCTAAATATGAAAATGTCTATGAAATGTTAATAATTTAATTTGAACGATATGATACAGTATATGAACTATTAGCAATTAAGTTATATGCAGTGCCGTAGCCAGGATTTTCAAACAGATTAGTCATCATAGAGATGATTGTAATGCACTATACACGTGCACAACCATTGACCATTGATCAATTAGGAATTCACTATTCCAGCGATGTAAACATGTTCATTTCATGCTGATGTCTTCTTAAAAATACGTATAGTAGTGTTTATTGATTATTTGGGACCATACCATTCCTGCAGTGTGAAAACATCTTACTATTAAAACATGCTGAAGTCTTTTAACTGCTGTTTCCAGTATAGATCTTTTAGACTCAATTTAGAAAGTACTTTATTCCCATCCTGCAATTAACAAATCTGTTTGCTGCTGGAAGTAAATTTAGATAATAGTCAGATAAAGGAAGTTCTTTACCTCCCACATACAAGATTTAAACATGTTGAGATAAAACACTACAACTTCTTTGCCCCTGTATATTTTTGTTAAGATCCCACAAAATAACAGTGTAAAAACATAACACAAACACTGTTTATTGGGCAACACGTGTGCTTGTGTGACTTGCATATTCCTAGCCCTCTTCTGATTGGTCAATTGTTAAGTTTGATTGACACTTTGACAAGGTCCATTCGAGGTCACACAGTATACCTTTATCAAGATTTGTTGTGAATTGAATAAAACAGAAATCAATAGATTTCGTTATATAATTAAATGATATATTTACAATGCTGTATATGGTTTTATATATTCTACTCACCCTTTAACTAGCCTGGAAATAACACGATCAAAATCAAATTTGAGTCACCGGTGTCGTATGCATCAAAACAGGCAGCAGCACACCAGAAATATGACGTACCACCGGACTGCAATCCACCAGAGTATCAAGGCTTTTGTCATCCCAACTACATCCGCAAGGAACAGTGTTCGTTCAGCTGGGACTGGGGACCAGCATTTGCACCTGTGGGTATTTGGTAAGTTAAAAGAAAGTGGATTTTGATTAATAGCCCCTCCATAGACACAGAAATACTAATTATAATCAAAATGATTGCTTATTATCTATGATTTATTAATCAATTAAAAAAACTATATATATATTATTGTAATTAACCACCAAGTTTGAACTCCACTCTAATGTTGTTTTTACCAATATTAAAATTATAGGCATCAATTATTTACAGTATATATCTGCTGTTTGTTTTAATGTTTTTTTGTTGATGTTTGGTGTTGAAATATTAGTGCTCTATCAGGTTATTATTTTAAGACAAGGCATCTTCCCTTTTTTTTTAAATTTCTGTATCTTTGCTTCTCATAGTATTTTAGAAGGACTTTTTGATTTTTACCTAATTTGCAAAATAATGCTTGTTTTGAACATTGTTTTTTGTATATTTTTCCTAGATCATTTTGTATATCTTTCAACATGTCTGTATAATAAACACCTTGCAGATAACATCTGCAAGATTTAAAAGTATTATATTTTTTATTAACAGGAGAAATATTAGCATCGAACTGTTCCAGGCGGCTGCCATAAGGGACGTCGTAGCAATCCCAATTTCCTCAAGTACGTCTGTAGGCCTAACGTTGTTTGGAACATTTCCTGATGTTCCCAGCAAGCTGGCCTAGATGATATTTGTTATTGCCATGTGTTATCTATGTTGTGATGTCATACAGACCTAGTTACAGTGTGCTAAGCATCCACTGTGTATTCATAGTGAGTTGGCTTTAGCCAGGCCTACAGTATTTTCAGGGAGCTGTAAAATT